CGATTAGGATCGACTAGGCTGTAAGCCTCTCTAATCCACCGTAAGGAGAGAGGGATGGATGCAGGGAGGGAGGAAACTCAGAGAGAAACAGGGTGGCACATAGGGTGAAGGGGAGAAAGGGAAATAAAGATAAACAAGGTGCAAGAGGATGAAAAGCAGACAGGAACAAGACAGAGAGAAAGGAGAGAGAAGGCAGAGGAAAAAACAGGCGAAGAGAAGCTGCACAGTGTGTCAAAGCAGATCACTGCCCGCAGGAAAAACAGGCAACAACACAGCAAACTGAACTCCCTCCAAACCGCTTTTATCTCCTTCCACTGTGGTTTTGACCTTTGCCATTGCGTCCGAGAGTTCAACCACATTTTATTTTAAATCACGTTCCTGCTCTGTTTGCAAAAATTTTTTTTGTCTTTAATTTTCATTATATTCTGCAGATCTCTGTGCATGGTTGCTGTATGCACAGACTGTAGGTAGAAGCTGAAATGCAAAGTGTCTAAGTGCTGACTCCTCCTCCTCTGGCTGCATAATAAAGTCCAGTTTGTAAGTTTATCGGGTCACAGGGGCAGCTACTTAAGCAGAAAAACACAGAGACCCATGCCCGGTTACCAGAATAAGTTTGTAAGTCTGTAAGAAAAAAAGGCCCAGGTCTTTGATGGCACCTGTAAATGCTGAAGCAGGGTTTACCTTGAGAGTGGCAAGGTGAGAATTAAGTTGGTGGTATGTGATTAACACTGTCTATCAGCAAGATTACACAAAAACCACTAAGCTAAAGTTAATGAACAGATGGACAGGTGGGAATGGCAGAGGAGCAGACTGTTAGATCTGTATCCTTTCTCTCAACAAACAGGACCCTGGCACTGAACCTCGGGGAAGATGTGCTTTTCTAGTTTAAAAGCTGCTTTGTTGTCTTTTCGTCTCAAAAGATGCTTTGCAAGACTTTATCTAATTACGGTCATCTCAGTTAAGTAAATTTGACTTGAAATAGCTCTTGAGTAAATGGAAGGGAAAAGAGAAAAGGGAGAAAAGAGCGTGAAAAGTAGGTGGGGGTATAAAGGAAACAAAGGGAGGGAATGTGATCAGAAAACACAGAGGAGTAACAGACTGGAAGAGAGACGCGTGAGAGGGAGAGAGAGTGAATGAAATAAATGCAATTTCCATGATCAGTTTAAGTTTGAGACCATTAGTCCCTGTACGTGTGTGTGTGTGTGTTTGTGTGGTGTGTGTGTGAATACACCGTAAACTTGGGGGAGCCACACAAAAGCCCACACATATGATGTGATACAGTAGATTCCCGTGATATGAACCCCTGTGTGGTTCTCACATACGGTATGGGGGAAAAAAATCAATATAATCACAACTATAGTGTTACCATCCCATTTTTCACTCTCCCTGTGAGAGAGAGCACGCACTACATAAAAATTAATTTCATTTCAGCCTCAGATAAACCAGTGAGTGTCAGAACTCAGGCCACGCCTCTGTGTAATTTCCACTGTAAAAACTGAGGGAGAGTGAGAGAATCCACAGATTTCCTTGTCCTTTACTGACAAAGCTAAAGTGGCTCCACTTAACTGGTCAGAGGCCATAAATGCATTAAGAGTTTTCTTTGCATTAGCAGGCAACTTCTTGTGCAAACAACCACAACAGCAATCATGAGAAGTCATTTTGCTGCTGATGAGTCTGCAGCTGCTTCTTGAGGTTATAAACTTATAAAAGCTCTTTGAGAGAGGCAAAGTTTAAGTCTTTATTCCTTTTCTAAGGCAGGAGCTGATGTGGAGGTATGTTTCTAGTGACATTTGTTTGTCGGCAAGATTACACGAAAACCACCCAGCTGAACTTCATGAAACCTGGTGGAGAAGTGGATAGCGACCAGAGAAATACCTCAATAAATTTTGTTGTGAATCTGGTTTACTTTTGTTAAAATTACAATATATTACATTGGCTTTGGTGAATAGCTCTTGTGTTTTTAGAACCTCTGGCTTACACATAACATTGTTTAACATCATTTATTTATTGCTTATAATTTGCATTAGTAACAACTTACTTGCTATAAACCAAAAAATACAGAATATAGATAAAATAGTCCAAAACTAAGAAATAATAACGTTAAAATTGTGCTTTATTGAAGTAGTCTGCATAAGGAAATGTACTTAGTTGCTTCTACTGCTGTTCCAGAGATGGCTTAGCTGTAAAACTAGCATTGTCCTTGGAAAAGCTGCAATTTTGCCCTCACAACTTCTTTGTGTTTTAGTTTTTTATGATTACCTTGTCCAGTGAAGTTTCACTTCTATCAAAGCCAGCTAGAGGCAGGGAAATGCATGAACAACTTACTGTCCAGAATAGTCTTTGAAATACTTTGGTATAGCTGCTATCTTTATTCATTTTTGCAGCATATCAAAGTAGTATAAGCTGAACATTCAGCCTTGCTGAATGTCTGAATGGGAGCAAACTCCTGCAGTGAGATTCTACAGTCTTGCAGAAACATTTCCAAAAGAGTGGAGGCTGTTCTACAAATGGAAGAGTGCTCATCTTCACAAAGAATATCTACATGTCCATGCACTTTTGTAAAATATATTCAGGGGTGCTTACCTGGCTTTTTGTAGGTAAAAGGTATCCTTAGAAGTGTATAACTTTGATATTGGAGCCTGAGATAGTGTTAATCACAGTTGTTTCATTGCTGGCTTTATTTATAATAAAACTGTGTAATACATTAGTTGGCTTATATATTCAAATCTTCAAAATAATAAAGGTCTAAACATATTTCAGTGGAAGCCAGTACCACCTTTACCTCTGGCTACACATTTTTCCATGGATAGACAGAAGCCAACAGATTATGAGAAACATCAAAACATTTCGAAGGACTGAATAGTTCAGCTGAAAACACATTACACTATATTAAGTGTGGCATCCCATGATATACTAAAAACAAAAGTAGATTTATTTATGTCAATTTACCAGGCGGTAATGCAAACAAATGGGAGGCTGAAGCGTCTACATGGCCTTTTACATGAGGTACAGTGTGTGCCCCAGGCCACTGGCTGTACTGCCTTCAGACTAGACACAACTTTCTTAAACAGATCAGGCACTTTGATCATTTACAGCATAAGTGCAGGGGGGAGCTAATTTAATGAACGATGAAAGCACCATGGTAAGACGTGACACTGAGCCTTCGTGCAGGACAAGGAGCTTGAAACTCGCTCAGCTAAATGGAGTACATAGTGTTTTTTTTAAATCATCTGGACATGTGCTTATCCTGCTCTGCTATGCTTTGCATGTGGTGAGGCCCTGAGGGGCTTCATTTTCCCCAATGCTTGTGGAGATAGGAATATGAGAAAATTTGCTACCAGGGTTTCAATCAATAACAACACTTATACTTTCTTTAATAAGATGAAAAATGTAAAGCACATTGCACAAGTCTTATGCCAACCCAAGTTTTGTAAATGTTTGCTTCCAAGGTGCCAGACTTTCTTCTTATTCTTTAAAGTGGTGTTGTTCAATATTTTTGTTCACCACTGCGCTTTCCGGGGGGGTTTCTGTGGACATTGCCTGCTTTTTCACCAATATTCAGTCCAGTCTTTGTGTCTGACCTTTATCAGGTAAATGTGTTGTCAACACATAACGAAATCTTCACAGAGAAGCTAAGATCAGATAATAAGCCGTATGCTTTGGCACTTTGGTAACTTGAAGCCTGTCAAAAACCACAAAATTTGTTCCCATTTATGAAGCGCAAGTATGTAAGTTCAATAAGGAAGATTAGTATTGACTCATCTGTCTGCTTTCCTACGTGGTTGGCTGTCAGTCTATTCTTTACATCACTTCCATTTTCCCACGCTGTAAAACTCAATGCTGACATCATTGCTTTAGTCCAGTCATCTTTCTACCAATCAGCCTCCACTCTATGTACTTTACATCGCACTGGGCATCTTTCATTCTTCCTTGCAGACTCCTTCATGCAACCCACCTCCTCCCCAATTCCGCCTCATGCAAACCACTCATCCAAGCCTCCATCTTATCTTCACCACCACGAGAGTCTAGACTGCGGAGCGAAAAACTTGACATAACTCAGGATATGTGCAGGGTATCCATTAAAACCATTTGAGGAAACTGGAATAAAACAGTAAAAAAATAATAAGTGGAATAAGTGGCAGGCCTAAAAAACTCTCTACAGCAGATGAACAGTATCCGAACGCCATGTCCTTAAGAACTAGAAGAAAATCTCACAAAGAACAGACCCAGGAGCTAAGAGTTGCATCTGGCCTCTTCAGAAATGTTCTCAGTGGAAGGGCGGATAGCAAGAAGCCTTTCTTAGTGAATGAAGGGAAGAGAAACAGGGACAAAAGGCTGGGGTATACCAGATTACATGAGAACTGGACTGAAAATTAGTGGCAACAGATCTTTTGGAGTGATGAATCCAAATTTGAAAATTTTGATTGGAATTCTCACTATGTACAGAGGAGGTCAGGAGAGAGCGTACAGCAGTGAGTCTCTAGGGCCAACTATAAAACATGATGGAGGCTCTGTCTGTCTGACTGGCATCGGCTTCATTTCTCATAATAACGATGCTCCCAAGTACAGTTCCAACGCAGTAACAGTATACCTGGATTCAAAAACACAGAAGGATCATGATCAGTCATGGATTGGCCTCCCCAGAACCCAAACCTCGGAGAACAGAATAAAAAGGCAGCCAACATCAGCAGAAGAGCTTTAAATGCCCTTCGGGTTGTACTGAGTAATAAAGTTTATCATAGCAAAGTTTCACTTTCTCCTAAAAGAAAAGCAGAGCTGGAAAAGAGATTGAAGAAGCACTTTTGGTCATACATTTGGTGGTTACTTTGAAAAATAATCGAACTAATTGTCACAGCACAAAATAACGTTTTATTGAATTCTCCTGAAAGTTAAACCGCCATCATTCCTGTTACTGAATTTTAGATTTTCTTTCACTGTTCACGTATTTTAAAAAAAAGCGACATAAAAAAAGGAGCCTTTATTCTGCCCGCTGGGGGCGCTGTGTTTTCTCCTATCACTCTTGACATTAGCGGGGTGCCACCAATCTCTTCCGGGTTCACTCCGACTCGCAAAGGTTGGAAATGAACCTATGAAGACATAATTTATGTACATAACCACGTTTCCCCGATAAAGGGAGAAGTTGTACTGTTATTTTTGGACCTGTGAGCTTTATTGAAGCTTGTAGCTGTTGAAGCCGCTGCTGGTTTAGCTCTCCGTGTAAGTTGAACATGTCTGCGGAGGAAGCGGACAAAACAGCCACCACTGATGCCAGCGCCGGAGACGAGGAGGAGGAATGGCTGTATGGAGGTAAAAACAACCACCTGACGTCCGCAGAAACGGTTCCTTCGAACCGACAGAGACGTGGAACACGATCTCTCTCGCTATGTTCCTAATTAACTGCTAACCAACAGATATCACTGTGCGCTATCCCGTTAATCATGAGCGTTAGCCTGGAAGCTAAGCTAGCAGCGGGTTTTTGGTCGGCCTGTTGTGGCTGCACCGCTCGAGTCAAATCATTTGAGTGTTACTCTGGCTTGTTATAACGTTTTAACTGGACTATGAAGTGGCGTATGTATTTTCTGCAGCTCACCTTGTTAGTTTTAAAACAAAACTTTAGTTAAATATATATTAGATAACGATAAATGAACTCAGTTGCTTTTAATTTCTATTCCAGATGAGTCGGAGAGCAAAGACGAGGATGAGGAAGCCAAGCTGAACGCTGCTGTCAGGTAACTATAATTCAATCTTAGCCTGGATTTAAAACAAAAACCCTCTGTGTGTAACACATTTCAGGGTCAACGAGCGTTGGCAAAGTAACTAGCAAAGGTAATATAGTTCAGTACAGCTATCACTTCTCACGAACTCTAGGAGTATTTAAATTTTTAATAATTTTTAGATTTATTGAGGTGGATTTCAGCTGATGCTGTATCCCTGGGGAGGGACAAAAGGCACTATTAATAGACACTCAGAGGTCACTTTATTAGCTGCACCTTGCAAGTAACTGGGTTGGACCGCCTTTTGCTGTCAGAACTGCTTTAGTTCTTTGTGGCATAGATTCAGCAAAGTGATGGATGATTTCATCTGAGATTTTGGTCCATGTTGACTTCATGACATCACACAGTTGTTACTGATGAATCGCTGTACATCCATGAGAATCTGATGAGATATAGGTAGGCTGTATCCTACCTGAGAACCTCAGGTAGGATATGGTGTTTAAATAATGCTCAGTTGGTGTTATGGGAGCCAAACTAAAAATATCTCCCACTCCATTACATCACCAACAATGCTAAGTGGCAGCTACAAGGCAGGATTTGTCAATGCTGTCATGATATTCGTGCCTACCATCTGAATGTTGCAGCAGAAACCAATTCTTTGGTTGGTTATTTGGCTATATGATCTACTGCTGCTGTCCTCAGCTTGAATCAACCTGACCATTTACCTTTGACCTTTGGCATTGAGAGAACTGGATAGTTTTTCTTTCTTTATTTTCCCAAGTCCATTCTCTGTAAACCCTAGAAATGGTTGTATGGAAAAATCCCAGTGGATTTCTGAAATCAGCCATGTCATGCTCCCAAACTAAAATCACATGCTAGATGCATTTACTGCTATGTGATTGGCTGATTAGATTGCTTTACATCTAGTATGTTAGAATATTATTGAAAAGAGAAAATTATGAGGATGTTGTTTGTCAGTCGTTAAAGCTACACATCATCTCTTCATTTATACTCTGCTACATGTGCTGCAGATGCTGATGGCACTATTGCTGCTGTCATAGATTCATTGATCCTACAGGGGGAAACTCTGTTACAGCAGCAGCACAAAGAATAAAATTAGTGTAATTTAATCTAATCTTGTTTAGTAAAGGTACCTCTGGCTCATAGTGAATGCTTTATAATGACACCATTATTAAATTATACCCAGCCTTAGACAGATTTATCGAACATATCTGTGACAGGCCAAAAATAATTTTGGCTTACTGCTATATCATCACTTGGGCTCCACCTAACATACAGACATCTTACAGTTACATTATGTGCTTAAATTTGAATAACAAAAGTGGTTAAACATATTAAAAAAAACCAAAACAAAAAAGGCAGCAGATCACATGAGTATGTGTACATATCTAGTTTAATTAAAAGCTACTAAGGGAGACTTAAAAACAAACTAATAGTCTTTTGAAACAATTTTCTCCTATTTTTTTTTTCTTTTTTACATACAGATAGATAATAGGACAAAATGTAACACCTTGAACTCTACAGTGAGGTCATGCTGTGGCAGCTTTGTTTTAAGTGACATTTTGGTGGCATGTTTTGTTTTTCTAATACTTGTTTTCTTTAAGATAAGGGTCACTGCAAGTAAATATAGTGTATAGTATAGTGATAATAAGTTATCCTTTGATTAAAAATTTCTTCCTTATTAGAATGGCCTCTGTTAGGATGCCAGTACTCTGATGACTGAATAGTTTAAAGAGTATGAAAATGATGTAAATCAGGTGTTGTGGCCTTCACAGTCACCAGATCTCCACCCAGGTGAAAAACTTTGTGAGATTTTGGACCCAGAAACTTTGGACTGAGAATAAATTTTATATTTGGTCTGTTGTGTCTAATGTTTTTTTTTCAGTGCCCCTGCTGATGCTTCAACAGATGATGCTGCTGCGCACGCTACAGGAAATGGAGTTGCCTCTGAGGTGTGTAGCTTACACTGTTTTTATTACAAACTTATTTCCAACTCAATGAATGTTTCTTGTGTTGTTTTTACTTCTGGATTTTCAGGCCACAGGTGAGGCTGCAGGCGAGGATGTGGAGAGCGACAGCGACAGCGATGATGACGACGATGATGTCCGTGTCACGATTGGAGACATAAAAACCGGAGCGCCACAGTACACGTACGTTTGAGGCAAATTGTGTTGTTGTACATATTTTTACAGTTTGTGGCTGGTTTATATAAAAGCTGCTGGGTGAGGTTTCTGATTCGGAGATGGCTCATCACCTTGCTTGTACCTTCCTTGTGATGTAGAGTGGTGGTGTCAGCATCGTGCTCTGTGGGGTGCTTCTCAGGAGCAGGAAAACTATTTAGAATTTAACAAATAAATATTTCAAAAAGAACCTCGAAGCAAACCTCACAACGCAGCAACTTTAGATTAGACTATCAGTGCCACAGTAAATGTAAGGAAACTACGAACGTGGAGTCGCTTCAGGAAAATTCTGACTGTCCTTGAGTCTCTGAAATAAACAGAGATCCCAATTGAACATTTGTGAAGAGATCTGTAAGCTCCTCCTGAGAGGATCTGCCAGGAAGAATCTCAAATGTCATAATGACTTGATATGGGATCCTAATGAGTGAGTCAACACTAGCTGTTTGTACTACAAGCTTCTTAATGCTTTGACATGACAGAGTTAATGGACTTTTTGATCCACTTATAAAACAGGATGCTTCAGTGAACACATAAGTTCAAGTGAGCTATCAACAGCTAAATAAATCAATTTGCTGAAAAACTGAAAGGGTAATGTGAATATGGTAATTGTAATTTGAAGTTTATGTTGGGATGTTTCATTCAGAGTCTTAATACTGTTGTTTTCCTCCCAGAACTTATGGAGCCCCACCTGTCAACCTCAACATCAAATCAACAGGCTCCAGACCTTATGGACAAGGTGTCGTTCTCTACTGGCTTAATCTCTTTTTTCCTGAATAAAAACATACAATAAAGACAGTTTGCCTGTTTCATTACTGTAATGTCATCTTGTAACTTGTTGTATTGTTTGTTTTCAGTTTCCGCAAAACTGAAGGGAGTGGATCTCGATGCACCTGGAAACATTAACGGTGTTCCAGTGCTAGAGGTGGACATGGAGTCTTTTGAAGAGAAACCATGGAGGAAACCAGGTGCGTGTGTGCTTGTGTCTGTGTCTTTGCTTTTATAGAAAAAATATTTAAAAGCCAGAGGCTGCCTCCAAAAGTGAGTAAATAAGCATTTTATATCATATGGAGAAAAAATAAATGTCTTACAGATTTCATTTTTACTACCGATCTCTCTCTTTTTAAATGCTTTTTATTGTGTTAGAAATCAAACACACAATTTTTATTTTATTTTATTTTTTTTACTCTAGTGTTCCCCCTTCCCAAAAAATCTTCTATAGTAGAACAGCTCCAGCTAAACTGACCGAAAGAAAACATTGAGTCTACGAGATCTAGGTAGAAGAATTAAAACTTGCAAGATTTCCGCAGGTGAATCTATGAAAAGATTGTAAACAGTAGCCTGCTGTGGTGTTTGTCTTTGGAGCCATCATCTTTCCACTTTCTGTAGCTGTACGACTCATGGTTGCCTACCCTGTTGGTCTTCCAAGTATTGCCAGCCTTAACAAAACGCTACATGGTGGAGGCACTCTTGCTTTGTGGTCATTAACACCCTCTAATCAGAGCCTAAAATGACTAGCGTGGTTGTGCATTAGTCCTATGCACAGCTCTGCAGACCATTGTCTACATTTTGTATCTGCTTAATGTCACTGTCTGTGACAAGCAGAAGTCACTGCTCCTTTTATCTTTTGCATCAAGTCTGTTGTAGAGATTTTCTTAATATTTTAGACACCACAGTGTGCAAGTTGCAGGATGTTTGCTGTTTAGTACACAAATATGACCATGTGTCTCTAATTCCATTCCATAGTCCATAATTGTTAGTCAACAGAAATATGGTATTAATTTTTTAAACTGGTTGCTATTCCTTCCTTTTTGAAAATTGCAAGGTTGACATCGTGGATCCAGTCTTAGCCAAATCTGTAAATCCATATTTGCTCCTCAGTAAAAAAAGAAGAAAAGAAAATCAGAGCACATCTGATTTTTTTTTTTACAGAATTTCATAAAATGTGCATTTTTTTTTTTTACTATGTAGGAGCCGATCTGTCAGACTACTTCAACTATGGCTTCAATGAAGACACATGGAAGGCTTACTGTGAAAAACAGAAGAGGCTGCGTATGGGCCTGGAGGTCTCTACAGTTGGCTCAGTGACAAGCAAGATCACTGTAAGATATCACTGCACCACTGCTGGCTCTGTCTTTGTTTGTTTTTGTACTTCAGCTCCTGCTTCCACCAACCCTCAGTTTCTTTTTGAGCATTTTATTTGACTTTATACAACGTGTAAATGCCTAAACGTTAGCAGATCTAACGGCTAAATGTTTCATAGCTGTTCCATACAGGTCACAGGGCTACGTAACTTAAAGGGGAAAGCTGTCTGACCTCACTACATGTTTTAGCTTTTGTCTTCAGTTAACCACCAACACAGAGCATGTGGTAATGTGGCTAAATGAGTAAAGGCTTGCATTTTTAGGAGGCAGGTTCTACAGGGTGTTCACACAGGAAGCGATTAGCAATGTGGTAGCAACCAGAGTCAGTGACATGCTTTGATGTCAGTTGACCTACAGGGGAAAGAACAAAGACATTTATGTCATGTTATTTTTGTATCTAGGTATTTTCCTGGAAATCTACCAGCATCTGAATTTTAATTGTAAAAAATATAGCCAATGTGTTTCCAAAAACATGCAGCTACACAGTGACTTCAAAACCACGATGACAAATTTAGAATTTCGTGTACTGCTGCATGACCATTGCTTGACCGTATCTACTTTAAAATCAGCACCCTTGTTCTCCTTCAGAAGATGCATGAATTTTTTTGTGTGGCTCTTTTCCAGGTTCAGCAGGGCAGAACTGGTAATGAAAAAGACATACCCAGTTTGCCAGTTCACACCTCAAAGCCAGACTTCACATCTCCTGTCAGCTTGTATAAGTCTGCTGTCAGTCAGGTCACCAGGTAAGACTCCTGCCTCTACATTCACATGTTTAATATTTGGTAGAGAAACACACTTACAGTTTTTCAGTAGAGGTTAAGCGCACAGTGAAATACATAATCCAGTTATGGGGCTAGGGAGGGTTGGATGAAGATGCTTATAAACAACCACATACAGTTAACTGGCCATCTTTAACGGAAGGACGAGGAGTAAATTGTTGATGGTTTTGGTACAAGAAAGTTAAAATTTCATCAGTTTATTGTGTTAACAGTTTTTAAATCCAACATTCGCAGGCACCATCTTGGGTCATAAGGAGACACAAACACACTGGGCCACTTCCAGAATAATCACCAGTGTGCCTGTGGTTAAAATGAGGCGCCTTCCCATGGTTTTTATTATGTGTGTTACTCTCATTACCCCTGTCCTTTGTCTCAAAATGGTAGGATCTCTCCCCCTCAATGGACTGGCCCGCCTCCTCAGGACATGTCTTATTATACGTAAGTGGGCATGGCCTTGTCCCTCCGAGGTTAAGGAGGCCTGATGGGAAATGCATAGATGTTTAAGGAATGGGCTTCTCTGGGTGCTTTTGAAGCCTCAAAGACAGCTTGATTTTCATTCTTGTTTCTTTCTGTTTGTGTAGTTGACTTGCATGTGTCTTTGTAGCTTTACAGCTTAAGCAAAAGAGAAGAAATACTAACAGCAGGCCAGTTAACTATGTGAGGTTCTCATATCATATTAAAAAAGTTATTAGTTTCATTAATAATGATATTTATTTTAGTTGTATTGTAA